AAAGCATCTTCCCCAAGGACTGACCACACTGTCTTAATGCTTGTCAGTTAATACTGCCGGCCTCAAGAACTTTAATAAGTACTGTTCAAGCATCGTTTCATTGACCATGCGCGGTATATGCCTTTTGGGAATAACAGCCTTAGAGTTGTCAACTCATTTTACAGTTGTACATGTTGCAAGTAAATCCATACTTGAACCCAGAACCCGCACAACCAGGAAAGCCTGGGCCAAGAGCCATGGTTCAAACGCAGGAAGGGGTGACTGATCTATGTTCCGCCACATCTTTTGATTCCGTACTGGTCCCCGGAAACCCTGATAAAATGTAAACTGGAAGGCCGGGCGGTGGTGGCACACGCCTTTAATCCCAGCACTCGGGAGGCAGAGGCAGGCGGATCTCTGTGAGTTCGAGGCCAGCCTGGTCTACAAGAGCGAGTTCCAGGACAGGCTCCAAAACCACAGAGAAACCCTGTCTCGAAAATCAAAAAAAAAAAAAAAAAAAAAAAAAAAAAAGTAAACAGGATTTTGGGAGAGAAAAAACCCTATCCCTCCACAAGAGTCAAGATGAGTTGACCTTTGCGTCTAGGCCTTAGTCGGTCCAAGGATCTCCCGCGATCTCTCCACCACTGCCTTTCAACAGCCGAAGGCCTCAGCTCACGAACCACCCAAAACGCTCGGGTGAGGCGTGCATCCCACGAACGGCCCGCAATAGGGACGCGTTCCCTTTAAGGCGCCAGCTCAGCTGCTGCGGCGGCCGGAAGTGTTGAAGCCCGGCTTGGCGGCGGCGGTGGCGGCGGCAGCCGTGGCGGCTTGTGCGCATGCTCCGTCGCCCGCCCGCCCTGGCCGCTCGCCGCCCGCCCGCCCGACGGAGACGGTGAGGAGGGGGAGGGGTGGGCGCGCGGCGCGGGCGCGGCGAGGGCTGGGGGTGGGGGGGCGGGCGCGGGGGCCGCGCGGCGGCCGGCGAGGGCGGGCGGGCGCGCAGGGGGCGGGGGGCTGCTGCCTCCGCGGGCGCCTCCCCACGCCCTGTGCGTGCCGCCGCCGCCGCCGGGGAGCGAGCGGACGTCGCGGCGCCGCGGGGGGGTGGGGGGACGCTGCCGCTGGGTCCGCCCGAGCAGCCGGGCCGCCCCCAGCGTGGCCGGCCGGGCCTTGGGCTCCCGGCCCTTCGAGCCGCTTGCCGGGCGGGGTGGGGGGGGCGTCGGGGGAGACTCGGCGCCCCCGGACCGAGGAGCCCGGAAGTCTCGCGGAGGGGCCGGGGGAGTCGGGGTACCCCCCCAAAGGCGGGGTCTGCGAGCTCGGGCCTTGCGCGGAGGAATTGGGTCAGGCCTGGGTCGTGCCCGGGGGAAGGGGCGGCGTGCCGGGGCGGGGGTGTGGGTGGGCTGAGTGTGGGGATTAAGGGCCAGCCTTCGCCGGAGGGAAGAGGCCTCGGCCCCTGGACCTAGGGTGAAGGAGCCAGATCCTACTCGAGCGCCCTTCCCAAGATGAGGGGCAGTGGGAAGGAGAGGGGTCCACCCGAGGGCTGCGGACTGGAGTATCTCCGGTGGCTAGATCGAGAGCAGGGTGGTCCTCTGCTCCGAGAGACGAGGGAAACCTATGGTTAGGCGGGTGGGGAGGAGGTAATTACCGGGAAGAGGGTACCCCTTGCTTTCAGAAATGACAGGGGAATTGGCCAGGTGTCCTCTAATTGAGGGAACAGAAGTGAGGGCAGATTCTTCCCCGAGGGTCTTGACCTAGGAATCAGAGGGAGGAAGGCTTGGCTGTCTAAGAAGCAGGGGAACCCTGAATTCTCAAAAGGCGACCTGTCAGGGTGTCAAATAGAACCAGGAAGTAGGGGTTTCCTCCATGTCTGGAGACTTTCCATCTGCCCAGCCTCCTTGCTTTGGCTAGTATTATGTGTGGAACGTTTTCTTAAGGGCTTGGGCCTGCTCTTAATTTTTCAGTCCTATAATAACTTGTTTTCCATGTGCACGTGATCAAGCCCATTGATTTTTCCATGCTCCCCTAGGCTTCATTGGGTTAGGTTGGGCCCTAATTTTGGTTGCTTAGAGTCTTGAGGGATGACTTTAAAAAACATATCTATTGATTCCTCCAAACACCTACATAGAAGTCTCCAGTCTGGTTTATATAAAGCTTCATTTCCTCTGGATACTTACTGCATGGTGGTTCTGTGTAATCCTCTTGTGTTCTTTGTATCCGAGGTCATTCTGGCTCAACTGTTATGTGCATAACAAAGGAGTGGATTTAATGAATTTTTCCTTAAGTAATAAAGTTGGATCTTGGGAGATTTCTTTTTATTTGTTTATTTTGGGGGTTCTTTTATTTGTTTTCATACAGCAGTGATGGTACACACCTTTAATCCCAGCACCAGAAGGCAGAGCAGGTGGACCTGTGGGTTTTCGTTTTTTTTTTCTCTGTGTATATCTGGGTTACATAGCAAGTTCCAGACGAACCAGGGTTACAAGGTGAGATGCCAAGGAAGAAAAAAAAATAAGAAAGGCACATAAACCTGTAGGATCTCACACCTTTGATTCAAGCACCTGAGCACCTGAGACTGGACTGCCTAAAGTTCAAGGCCAGGCTGGGCCACCAATTGAGTGCAACACTAAGGTGGGATACAGTGAGCCCCAGTTTCAAAAAGCAGACACAACAGCCTAGCATTGTCTGGGAGGCAGAGGCAGGACTATGTAATGAGACCCTATCTCAAAAAAAAAAAATAAAAGCCAGGTGATGGTGGCTCATGCCTTTAATTTCAGCAATTGAGTGGCAAAGGCAGGCAAATATCTGAGTTCGAGGCCACCCTGGTCCACACAGATTTCAGGATAGCCAGGACTACCTTGTGTCAAAAACCAAAACAATTCCAAGCCAACCTGCTCTATTGAGTAAGTTCCAAGACAGAGCTACAACAGTGAGCCCCTGTCTCAAAAAAAAAAAATTATATGTATGTGTATACGACAGTACTTGTGGAGGTCAGAGGACAACACAGGATTTGATTTGAAAGACCCCCGGAGCGGGGAGACTCTCAATCAAGTCTAGGGATAACATGACCCCCCAGGAACTCACGAGAGACCTTTCTTGCTGCAATCACATGAGGTTTATTGACAGGACTGGAACCAGTGCACTGAGACTGAAACTCATTTCCCACGCAGGGAGAGTTTGACCCCTAGTAGCTGGGAGAAGGGGTATTTAAGGGAAGAAACCATAACCCAATAATCCAAAGGGGGTAGGGAGGGTGTCATTGGAAAATTCCAAAAATACCAGTGATAATCACTCCCTGTTTCTCAAGATTATAATCTAACTTTATCTTCAGCTAGTTCCTGAAACAGAGTCACTGAACCAGCTAATCTAGATTTTTGATTCTTCTCTCCCTGCTTAGATTTTCAGCTCTATTTTTTTTTTCTGCTAGAGGGGTCTGGATTTATATGGGTCTTTCAGATTCTGTCCTTCCACTATGTGTATCCTAAGGATGAAACTCAGGTTTTCAGGTTTGGCAACAATCGCCTTTACTTGCTGAGCCACCTCACTTTTTTGGGGATAAAAGTTTCATATATCCTACCTCTCCTTACCTGAGGGTGACCTTGAATCCCTGACCCTTCTGCTTCCAAAGTGCTGGTTTACAGACTTGTGCCACTATGCCTGGCTACATGCCTGCTTTCAAATTTTTAAATTTATTACTTGTGCATAATGTTTGGAGGGGGTATGTGTGTGTGTGTGTGTGAATGGACGTCAGGATTTTATGGCGTTGGCTCTCATGTGATCTATAAATATGACAGGGCAAGGACCTTTCAAGAGTCTTTTTTTTTTTTTTGTCTTGAAAATATCAATAGAGCAGCAGCTCATTAGCACCTGTCTGTAAACCCAGCTCTCTGTAGGCTGGGCCAGGAGGATTGAAAATTCAAGCCTCTTGATGCAAACAAAGACCCCCAAGTAACTTGAATGTGGGGGTTCCTGAGCTTGGGAGGTCGAGGCTGGGCAGGATCAATAGCTCATGGCCATCCTTGCTACACAGTGAGTTTGAGGCCAGCCTTGGCTGCATGAAACCCAAACCCCAAACCAAGCCCAGCAGTGATGGCACACACCTTTGATCCCAGCAGAGGCAGGTGGATCTCTGAGTTCGAGGCCATCCTGCTCTCCAGAGCGAGTTCCAGGACAGGCTCCAAAGCTACACAGAGAAACCCCGTCTCAAAACCCCATCCTCCCTACCAAAAAAAAAAAAAACAAAAACAAAAACAAACCAAAGCAGAGAAACTCTGCTGCAGGTTGAAGCCACATTTACACCAAGCCTCTCCCCCTGAGCTGTCTGCCCCTTGCAATGCTTCTTTCCGCATAAAATGACTAAGGGTTAACAAAATTTTCTCATGTTTTTGTATGTTCTCAGAGAATTGCAGAGCACACACTTGGATTTCGTAAGGGGTAGTGACTGCAAGGCCTCTTCTGTGAAACACCCATGGGATTAGCTCTCTCACCTTGTCTCAGGAGTCTGTGCTGGTATAAACAAGGGGCAGTTTTCTGTTTACACAGCTTACAGAGATGACCTTGCAGTTAGCCAGGTAGTGGTAGTGTGCTGTTGGTTTGGGGTTACTCACTAGGAATGTGATAGCTTGAGGTAATGAGAGATACTGAACCTAAACTTGATTTACTAAAAAACTATGAATCACAGTGTTGGTGTGGACTCTCTTCTCTGTTACTAAAAGCGTGGGTTTTGTTTGTTTAATTTTTTTTCAAGATTTACAAGATTCTTAGTCCTGTGTGATGGTATATGCATTTAGTCCTAGCACTAGGGAGGCGGAGGCAGGTGGATCTCTGAGTTTGAAGCCAGCCTGGTCTATACAGGACAGCCAGTCATGTGACCTCTCCCACAGTGTGGCCTCACCCCTGTGTGGTGAGGTATGGGGGGGATGGGAGTGAATTACTTTAGTTTAAAAAACCACGACAAAACAAAAAGATTTGGTTTGTTTATTTAGGTTTTTTTTTTTTTTTTGAGAGAGGGTTTTCTCCGCGTAGTTTCGGAGCCTGTCCTTGAACTCAGAGATCCGCCTGCCTCTGCCTCCCAAGTGCTGGGATTAAAGGCATGCGCCACCATCACCCAGCTTTAAGACATTTAAGACATTTTTAAGAAGGAATGTGGCCAGTGGCCTTTAGTAGGATCACTTTGGTTGCTATGTGGGAATGAATTTTAGGAATCCAAGACCAAAGGTTAGGCTATGGGAAAGGAGCTGGGAAAACCCAGGTAGTAGCGTGGCAGTCCAGACAAGGTGTTGACTGCACAGATGGAGTACGGGAGGAGCACACACACTGTAGACTGGATAGGGTTGTGGCTGATTGGGTTTAGAAGGAGGAGGCAAAAATAACTCCAGAGTTCCCTCCTTTTGAAAAGGCGTGGAGGATAATATCACTTAGGGAAATAGGAAATCTAGGAGTGGGTTTGAGAAAATATGGTTCAGTTTAATGTAGTAGAGGCTGGAAAATGCAGGAATATAGAATTCTTTGAAAAATTGAATGGGATTAAAAGGCAGTTATGAAGAAATTTGATTAGGTCATATATGTATGCAAAAGTGATGGAATCAACCTATCTATCAGTGTCGTATCTGAGGAGAGTGACGGGGGCACAGAGATGTTTAGATAAACGGTGCCTAAGCACCGAGACTGATGGCATACACCTGGTAGTCAGAGGCCGAAATTTGATGCTAGCCTGAGCTACAGGACAAGACTCTGTCTTGAGAAACCAAGAACAATCTGAGTGTTGTTGTGCACGCCTTTCATCTCAGCCCTTGGGAGTCAGAGGCAGGGGGATCTCTTAAATTCTGTTTTACAGATTGAATTACAGGACATCCAGGACTACACAGAGAGACCCTGTTTCAAAAAACCAAGAAAGGAAGGAAGGAACTCAGAGCTTTGGGTTATAGTTCAGTTGTGAAACACTTGGTCACATGTCCGCGGACCCGTGCAGAACACAGAGCAAATGAACAAGAAGGAACACTAGCTATGGCTGTCAAGGTCTGCCTGGGGAACTGCAGTGAAGGACAGTGTCTAAAACCAGAGGAGTGACAGCCTACATTTGGGGGAAATTCTGAAAAGAAAGCTTGATGATGGCGCTGTAGAGATGGCTCAGAGGTTAAGAGCACTGGCTGCTCTTCCAGAGGTCCTGAGTTCAATTCCCAGCAACCACATGGTGGCTCACAACCATCTGTAATGAGATCTGGTGCCCTCTTCTGGCCTGCAGGTATACATGCCAGAACAGTGTATACATAATAAATAAATAAATTTAAAAAAGAAAAGTACAGTGATGCTTCCTGGAGTAGTGAACAGAACATTAGGGACAAAGATGCCTAAAGCTTAGAGAATAGAAAACCTTAGAGCCCTGGTAGCACGCTACTATGTGTTCAGAGTACCTGAGTGACTGACACGGTCGGAGAGTAAGGGTGTAGATAAAGCTGGAGTATGCCAGGCCAGTGAGGTCCACTCTGGGCACCACATTACGTATGTCTGTTTTCAAGGCTGGCAGAGCTGAGGAGTGACTTGAGTCTCTGGCTGCCAGCTACACATTCCAGTGTGGATCTACAGTCAACATGGCTGTCTCCTGCTTGCCTTCACATGTTTACCTATATTCATTTAGTAAATTCAGTGTCTTTTCTTGTATGTGCTATAGTGACTTTTTCTTTTAATTGGTTTTTTGAGACAGAGTTTCTCTGTGTACCCATGAAGCCTGTTCTGGAACTCTGTAGACCAGGCTGGGCCTGAGCTCACAGAGATTCTCCTGCCTCTGCCTCCTGAGTGCTGGGTTTAAAGGCGTGTCCCACCACCACCACCTGGCAAGTGACTTTTTTCTTTAAGGCAGGCTGGCCTTCAGTTTATGTGGCTCAAGCTGAATTCAAATGCCCCATAATTCCCTGCTTCAGCCTCCCAAGTGTTGGGTTATTGTGTGAGCCACAGCTCCTGGCCCCTTCTTTTCAACTGGATAGTGTAAAGGATTGCACACACAGCTCTGGGTAAGCTCGGGTGTTAGAGAGCTTACCACCAAACACAAGGCTTTGAGTTGGGTCCCTAGCACTGAAAAAAAAAATCAATTTTCCTGAACTCTAAAGGCTAACAGCTGCAGGCTGTCCTGTGACTGTCTGTGTTTTCATAAAGAGTGGGACAGTGGGGACGGCAAGATAGTGAAATAGGTAAAAGTGCTTGCCACGCATGCCTGATGACCTGATGTTGTTACCCAAATCCCAGGGTGGAAGGAGATAGCTGACTCCTGGAAGTTGTCATATGACTGATGTCTACTTGTGTGCCTTGGCATGTGCATAAACATACAAACAAAACAACAACAATAATAAAAAATGATTGGCTTAGTATTTTAGATTGAAGGAGCTCATGGCACTTGGTTATGGTTTCCTCAGTAACTCTGCAAGGAGCTGGCAGACAAGGTCATTTCCATTCACTCTGAAGAGCTGAGATGTTCCTGGGACCCTTGCAGGTGTCCCATTATTCCTGGTGGAAACAGGAAGATCAGAAGTTGAAGGTCATTCTCAGCTCCAGAGCAAGTTCCAAGTCAGCCATTTGAGACTCCATCTCTAAAAATAAAACAAGAACATAAAGTTCTTAGAACCAGACTTGGTGACTCACACCCTATAATTTCAGCTCACTGACGCTGAGGCAGAAGGATTGCTTTGAGTTTGAGACTAGGCTGGGCTTCAGAAAAAAAGAAAAGTTCTTGACCTCTTGGTGGTAGTCCATATCTTTAATCCCAGCAGCAGGATCTCTGAGTTTGAGCCCAGTATGGTCTATAGAGCAAGTTCCAGGATAGGCAGGACTACATACACACACACACACACACACACACACACACACACAAAACAAACAAACAAAAAAACCCTAAGAAAGAGAGGGAGGGAGGAAAAAAAGAAAAAAAGGTCTTAGAGATTGTACAGTAAACTCAGCATTTATTAACAGCTGTGCAGCTGAACTGAGATATGTATATTTATAAAGGATAGAGCACTGTATGTAATACATAGTTGATATGTAACTGCTATTTGCACTTAAAATAGGTACGGATTTCTACTTTTTAGGGCCCATTCTTTGGGATGGAACCAGTCTTATGTTGTAAATCAATCTAGAGAAAAAACAAGCCAGGTGTGGTGCATGCTTGTAATGCCAGCACTTGGGAGGCAGAGGTGGAGGATCAGCAAGTTGAAGCCAGCCTAGACTATTTATTGATATTCCCGTCTCAGAACTAAAACAAGCCTTTAATCCCAGCACTCAGCAGGCCAGGGGTTCCTTCGAGGCCAGACTGGTCTACAGGGTGAGTTCCAGGAAAGCCAGGACTGTTACACAGAGAAATCCTGGCTTGAAAAACCAAAAGAACAACAACAGCAAAACCCACAAAGACCTTTGACTCCAAAAACAGGAGACAGAGGCAGGCTCATCTTTGAGTTTAAGGCCAGCCTGGTCTACATATACTGAGTTCCAGGTCAGACAGCATTTCATAGTGAGACTATGACTCAAAAACAAAACAAAGAAGACCCGAAACAACAAAACCTTAGAGTCTCCTGCTCATCATTTCAGTGCCGTGTGTGATCCCAGTGCTGCGACCCCAAGCCAGCCATCTGATGGCTCTAAACGTAAGGTCTGAGAGCTGGTAGAGCTGGCTCCGGCAGACGCCTGGGGGAGTCACACTAGGGGCCTGCGCCAGTCCTGTCAGCCCCTCTCAGGCCTCGTTCTTCGCAGAGGATGATGAGTCCAGGGTGCTCAGAGCTGTTTGTTGTCTCGGCACTCCCTTCCTGCAGTTGTGCCTTTCAAGATGAAGTTACTCACGCTTCTTGTTTCTCACAGCAGCCCCAGCTAGCTGACTTCATGTGAAAGATGGCTAATGCGGAAGTGAGTGTCCCAGTGGGAGATGTGGTTGTGGTACCCACTGAAGGAAATGAAGGGGAGAACCCTGAAGACACTAAAACCCAAGTGATCTTGCAGTTACAGCCTGTGCAGCAAGGGTAAGTGGGGAGAGGTTTGGACGTTCTGAAAATGTATTATTGGGAGAGTAAATATGGGAAATAAGAACTGTGCAGGGCTTTAGTAAGCCATGAGCACTCAGATCAGTCAGAGCTGGTGATAAGATCCCTCCACCTTCTTAGGGCTTTTTGTTTTATTTATTCATTTTTATTTTTGTAATTTTTGAGACAGTCTCATGTAGCCCAGGCTTGCCTCAAACTTCCTATGTTGCAAGTGTAGCCTTGAATACCTGATCTTCCTGCCTTTTCTTCCCAATTACCAGGATTACAGATGTGCACATCCATGTCAAGCTGCCATTCACTATTTACTACAGCAGCGATTTCCTAGTGTCCCTCTGTCTTTACAGTGTGAGCTCTCTGGGGGTGAGTTCCATGGCTCCCTCATCTTCTCTGTCCACATTGTTTAGCCCAGGGCCCATGTGCATATTTCTCAAATGCAGTGTTGACTGAGAGACAAAACAAGGCACCTCCAAAATCATGTCTACCATAAACTCTAAAACTTGCATGGATCGGCAAATGCTCAAGCTTAGTCTGTCCCAAGTATCTATTCTCCACCACCATGATGATACGTTACAGCAGCATTAGAAGAAATAAAACACAAGGTCCTCGCCAGCGTGAAGCTTGAGGTCTAGCTGTAAAACAAAGGTGCATGTAAGTATGGAGCCTTACATCGTGAAGACGGGCAGGGTTGAGTGGCCTGCGAGTTCAGAGCTCACGATCACCTAGACAGGAACATTGACTAAAATGCTTCCGCAATGTCCAGAATCAAACCTGGGGCCTCTCTCATGCACAGGTCATCTACCACTGAGCTATGCTATAGGCTAGCCCTAAAAGGTAAAATTTAAGTTTTTCTTTCAAACAGGTCAGTGGTGTCGCACGTCTTTAATCCCAGCACTTGGGAGGCAGAGGCAGGTAGATCTCTTGGGTTCCAGGGCATCCTGGTCTATAGAGTGAGTTTTAGGACAGCCAGGCATACGCAGAGAAACTCTGTTTTGGGTGGGGGAGAAAGTGTGTCCGTCTGGTTTTCTTTCCTTTTTAAAACAAGGTGTTTGTTATACAGCCCAGGTTGGATTTGAGTTTAACTATTCTTCTGCCTCAGCCTTCTCAGTGCTTCTCATGTGCTGCCCTTCCTGACTTTAAAGAGTAATCTTTTTAAAAAATATATACAAAATAAAATAAAAAAATAGGTCAGGCAGTGGTGCCTTTACACCTTTATTCTCAGCACTTGGGAGGCAGAAGCAGGTGGATTTTGATTCCAGGGCAGCCTGGTCTACAGAGTGAGTTCCAGGATAGCCAGGGCTGTGGAGAGAAATCCTGTCTTTAAAAACAAAGCAAGAGGCTAGAGAATTGGCTCAGTGTTTAAAAGCACTGACTGCTCTTCCAGAGTTCCTGAGTTCAATTCCCAGCAGCATACCACTACTATTTGGCTATAAAAAAGATTGACTTGGCCAGGAGGTGGTGGCGCACGCCTTTAATCCCAGCACTTGGGAGGCAGAGGCAGGAGGATCTCTGTGAGTTCAAGGCCAGACTGGTCTACAGATTAAGTTCCAGGACACCCAGGGCTGTTAAACAGAGAAACCGTGTCTCCAAAGACACAAACACAAACACACACACACACACACACACACACACACACACACACACACACACAAAATCACGAAAACACACAAGGAAAAGCTGAGGTGTACCTGGACCAAGAAAAAGAGACTTTTGGCCTGAGGACCAAGGCTGGTTTAAAAGCTGGGGGTGGGGCCAGGAGAGGCCATGGAGGAGAATTTGATACTTCATACATTTTGGTCTGTTTTGAAACAGTCTTGCTGGGCTGCACAGTTTTGCCTTGTGTTCCCAACCCTCTGCCTCTCCCTCTCCAATGCTGGTATTAGGGTATGCAAGACTGCCTCCAACTTTCTGTTTGTTTAATCTTTTGTTAATTTTTAAAATTTTGAGTGTACTTTTGCAAGGGAATGTGCACATGAGTGTAGGTGCACACGGGGACCAGAAGAGGGGGCCAAATCTGAAGCTGGAGTTAAAGGACGTGTGAGTGAAGCTGGATGTGGGTAGGTCCTTTGGAAGAACACAGTGTTCTTTTTGTTTGTTTTTTGTGGTTCTGTTTGTTTGGTTTTGTTTTTGATTTTTCAAGATGGGGTTTCTCTAGCTTTGGAGCCTGTCCTGGAACTCACTCTGTAGACCAGGCTGGCCTTGAACTCACAGAGATCTGCCTGCCTCTTTCTCCCAAGTGCTAGGATTAAAGGCTTGCACCACCACCTCCTGGCTTTTTGTTTGTTTTTTTAAGACAGGGTTTCTCTGTGTAGCCCTCACTGTCTTGGAACTCACTCAATAACCAGGTTGGCATTGAATTTGAGATCCACCTGCCTCCGCCTCCTGAGTGGAGTGCTGGGATTAAAGACAGGTACCACCACTGTCTGGCTGAAACACAGTCTTCTTAACCTCATCATGAAGCCCAGACCTTAAACTACATATCCTCCTGTCTCAGCTTCCCAAGTGTTAGAATTTCAGTCATGGAGCACTAAACTTACTCATATTTTACTTATCCAGGTATTTTTTATGTACATGTTTGCAGGAATGCATTAGGCAGTAAAGGTAGATTGGAACAGTCTTTCCATGTGTGCATAGAGATGGTGTTCTGGAACTCACTTTGTACACCAGGCTGGTCTTGAACTCACGAACTCATGGCCCGGCTTTTTTTTTTAATATTTATTTATTTATTTATTTATTTATTTATTTATTTATTTATTTATTATGTATACAGTATTCTGTCTCTGTATATGCCTGCAGGCCAGAAGAGGGCACCAGACCTCATTACAGATGGTTGTGAGCCACCATGTGGTTGCTGGGAATTGAACTCAGGACCTTTGGAAGAGCAGGCAATGCTCTTAACCGCTGAGCCATCTCTCCAGCCCTGGTTTAGATACTTTTATACTTATGTAGCGAATTTGAGACCAGCCTGAACTACATGAAGCACAATCCCAAAACAAACAAAAGTCCAGTGAAAAGACCCAGTAACTACAAGAATCTTCTGGAAGTGTCACCCAGTGGTTCAGTATTTCTTTGGTATGCAGAAAGCCCTGAGTTGCATCTCCAGCATCTCAAATAAAATAAAGCCATCGCTAAATGCTTAATAATTTTTCAAATAAGTCCCTTTTTATAGCATTGCAGTGATAACAAAGTTGCCTGAAGATCAGAGTGCAGAGCTCTGACACTAAACGCCAGGCGGAATTGGCTCACACCTTTAGTCCCAGTACCTAGAGTCACACACCTTTAATTCCAGCGCTAAGGAGGTGGAGACAGGAAGGAATATAGCTGGGCGGAGAGAGGGAAGTAAGGCAGGAGGAGACAAAAGCTGTGCAGTTTGGAGATAAAGTTGGAAGATGCAGTCTGAGGACAGGATGACCACTTTGGTCTGAGCATTGGTAGAGGTAAAAGGTATCTTTAGTGGCTGGCTGCTCTGCTTCTCGTATTTCTCAGCTTTTACCTCCTAATATCTGACTCTGGATTTTTACTAAGAATAACTAGAGCCTGGCAGTGGTGGTGCATGCCTTTAATCCCAGTGTTTAAGAGACAGGCAGATCTCTGTGAATTCAAGGCCAAACTGGTCTACAGACTAGTTCCTTCCAGGACAGGCTCCAAAGCTACAAGAGAAAAATCTGCCATGAAAAAACAAAAGCAAACAAACAAACAAAAAAAAACAATTAGAATTCATGTTACTTAACATTTATTTATTTATTGTTTTTCGAGATAGGGTTTCTCTGTAGCTTTGGCGCTTCTCCTGGAACTAGGCTGGCCATGAACTCACAGAGATCCGCCTGCCTCTGCCTCCTGAGTACTGGGATTAAAGGTGTGCGCCACTGCCAACCCACTATAACATATTTAGAGTTCTCAGAAGAAATGGAGGTGCCAAGATTCTGTCACCATTCTTGACCTTACTGCTGCCATTTTGGATTCATAATAATTTTTGTTTTCATTTTGTTGATGTTATTCTTTGTTTCTTAATGTGTATGGATGTTTGGACGGCATGTATGTTTGAGCACCATGTGCATGCAACGTCCACAGAGGCCAGAAGAATTGCTTTGACTGTTCTGGAACTCACTCAATAGACCAGGTTCTGCCTCCTGAGTGCTGAGTGCTGGGATTAAAGGCGCGGTGCTGGACACTGCCATCTGGCTATGATGAACATCTTTAATTGCAGGTTTAAATTAGCATGGCTTTATTTGATTTGTTCATACAGTTTTGTAACTACCATTGAAATTATATTCAGAAATCAAAGACTTTGGCAACGCATCAAACATGTCACAAACCTAAAGGTTGCAATTGTGCATTTAACCTTGGCATTCAGTTCTACTTTTTGATTGCACAGATCAATGAGTGATTTTACAAAAATCAACTAAACATTGTAGCCAGCCTTATCTCAGAGTCTTCATCACAAGCATGGCAACACTGGAAAGCTCTTGGCGACAAGTGCACCTACACTGCCCAGGCTGACATCTGACTGAGACCTGGGCAGTATACAGGCTCCTAACTTCACCTGTCCTGAAACACTGTGCTCAAATAGCTCAAATGCTTATCAGTGACCCGCCGGGGAGACATTCTATAGGAACAACATGACAGAGTTTATCCTGAAAATGGCTGTAAGTTAGCACAGGGTAGAGCCTTGAATGTCAACCACTGCTGTGAATTCCAGCCACCCTCCTGTTCTGTTCAAGGTGACATCTTGATCTCCTGAGGCAAGTGGAAAACCTGTCTGGAGGAGGGGAAGGACCCTCTGTTTAACCTTGTCCTCTATCAGTGTCAGTAATTGTGACTGACTGTCTGTGCGTCTGGACTGTCTGGACTGTGAATTGTTGATTAAGGCTGGGCAGAAGCTGGTGGACCCCTGAGAGTTCAAGGCCATCCTGGCCCAAAAAGTGAGTTCCAAGACAGGTTCCAAAACTACACAGAGAAACCCTATCGCAAATAAACAAACAAACAAACAAACAAACAAACAAGCAAAAGGACAGGTGGAGAGTGGAGGTGGAGGTTTATCTCAGTTGATTCAGTGGTGCGGAGGAGCGTGAGGGTCTGAGTTTTATCCTAACCCAGTGGGGGGGAAAAAAAAAAACCTAACAACTAAAGCTGGGAATGATGGCAATGCCTGTAATTGCAACACTGGAATCTTAGGCAAAAGGATCACTTGGAATTCTAGACCACCCTAAGCAAATTACTATGACCTTGTCTCGAAATATGAATTTTTAAATGTTTATGTTTAAAAGAAGAGAATCACATGATTACTCTGGTAGGAGTTACCGGATTAATGAGATGGGGTGGGCAAGCTGTTCCAGGCTGAACATAATGACATCTGAGTGAAGGGGGTAGCCGTTACATTAGAGGCAGAGAGAGGACCACTGGTGTTAAAGAGGTCAGTCTGACAAGATTTGACAGCTGTGTAGGAGCTGAGGGGAAAAGGAGAAATCCAACCAAAGGGCTGAGTATGTGGCTTTGTCATGGAGTGCCTAGCTAGCATGCGGAAGTGTCTAGGTTTCATCTCCACTAGTCTAAAAGAAACAGTCAAGGGGCTGGAGAGATGGCTTGGGGCCTAAGAGCACTGACTGCTCTTCCAGAGGACCTGGGTTCAATTCCTAGCACCCACATGGCAGCTCACGGCTGTCTATAACTCCTGTTCCAGGGGATCCGACACCCTCACACAAGACATACGTGCAGGCAAAACACCAATGTACAGGAGGCTGGAGAGATGGCTCAGTGGTTAAGAGCATTGCCTGCTCTTCCAAAGGTCCTGAGTTCAATTTCCGGCAACCACATGGTGGCTCACAACCATCTGGAATGAGGTCTGGTGCCCTCTTCTGGCCTGCAGACATACACACATTCAGAATATTGAATGCAAAATAAATATTTAAAAAAACACCAATGTACATAAAATAGAAATAAATTATTTAAAAAAAAAGCAGTCAAGACAGGGAAAGGAATAAAAGCAATTGCCACCAGGTCCCAAGGTCCCATCCTGTGTGCCAGGTAACACCAGTGACAAGGATGGAAGTATGGGGATCAAGAGTTGATTTTTTGTTTTGTTTTTTTGTTTTTCGAGCTTTGGAACCTGTCCTGAAACTTGCTCTATAAACCATGCTGATATGTAACTCACAGAGATCCACCTGTCTCTGCCTCCCTAGTGCTAGGATAAAAGGTGTGTGCCATCACTGCCCAGCATGGCTTCTTCGCTTAGCAGTTAGTGGCATTGTGGCGTGAAGTTCACAGGGAGATTGGCACTAGAGATGTCACCATGGAGTGGATCAGCATTTGTGCAAAGAGGAATGTACAGACTGCGCTTTCAAGTAAGAAGGTGTAAGAATTAACCCGTTAGGCTAATTACAGAAGTGAACGATAGAGGAGCATATCACGTTAGGTTATCTGAGTCTGTGTGTGTAGAGACATTGAGGAAGATCTGCTTCACCCAGCCTACCCTGTCAAAGTCCCAAATAGGCCCAGCTCTGGTGAGCTTCTAAGGGTGGATGACATTGGGTATGTTCACAGTGCTGTGGTCTCAGGCAGACTGCACAGCCTCCTGTTTGGCGCTCTAGTGACTACTGCCTCACTGGGGCTGTTTCACGTTTTCTGTTTCTGTGTACTTGGTTTATGCAGGTAATTTAGTTCTGATGCCCTGGAAGGCTTAAAACACCAAAAAATGGAACAATGCTAAAATGTCTAGATTTCAGCATGTGTCATCATTTCTGGGTCATTGTGTTGCTTCTTGCCTTGTGCTATCTGCTGGTTCTACTTTTCGGCAAGTAAATTTTATGAAAAGGCTTTTTTTTTTTTTTTTTTTAAGACAGGGTTTCTCTGTACCTTTGGAGTCTGTTCTAGAACTTGTTCTAGACCAGGCTGGCCTCGAACTCACAATCTGCCTGTCTCTCTCCTGTCTCCCCAATGCTGGGATTAAAGGTGTGCCACCATTGCCCAATGAAAAAGCCTATTTTGTGCTTGAAGCAATATTCCTTGAGCATTTAAAGCAGTGGTTCTCAACCTGTGGGGTCATGACCCCTTTGAGAGTTGAATGACTCTTTCATATGGGTCACCTAAGAGCATCAGAAAACACAGATGTTACAATTACAATTCATAACAGTAGCAAAATTAGATTATGAAGTAAGTAGCAATGAAAATAATTTTATGTTTGGGGTCACCACAACATGAGGAACTGCATTGTTTGTTTGTTTATTCAAGACAGGGTTTCTCTGTACAACAGTCCTGGCTGACCTGGAACTAGTTCTGTAGACCAGGCTGGCCTCGAACTCACTGAGATCTGCCTGCTTCTGCCTTCCAAGTGTGGGAATTAAAGGTGTGTGCTGCCACCACCCAGCAAGGAACTGTATTAAAGAGTCTCAGCATTAGGAAGGTTGAGAACCAGTGATTTAAAGTTATTGAGGAAAGGGCTGAAGAGTTGGCTCAGCAGTTACAGAGCATGTTGCTCTTGCATAGACCCAAGTTTGGTTCCCAATACCCACATCTGGTAGCTCTAGCTCCATGGGCTCTGACACTCCATCCTGTTCTTCTAGGCACACACACACACACACACACACACACACACACACACGTACTTACACACAAGTGTGTGTATGTGTGTGTATACAAGCAATCACATGACTTTATACACAAAAGTAACATAAATCTTTAAAGTTATTAAAGAAGCCAGAGGGTGGTGGCACGTGCCTTTAATCTTAGCACTCAGGGAAGCAGAGGCAGGTGGATCTTGTTTGGGTTGGGGCTTCACCCCAGCCATCCATGTATCTAAGGAGTTTGGACTGTTTGGTGGAAAATTCCCCTTTCTCTGGGAGTTGCCTCAGTCCAGACTCCACCTCAGAATAATCCCGCCAAACGGTGACCCCTCCCCAGAGAGGCTCAAGACCACTCCCACAGGGTATTTAAATTGTCCCCCCAGAGACCGAACACGTGGTTTTCTGGTCTCCCCCCCCCCCCCCCCTGGGAGCACTGGTAGCCATTAAACCTGGGCTTTTTCTAATTCGGTTTGATTTGTGTTATTGCGATGGCAGAGAAATTTATTGGGATGTAAAAACTTTTCAGATTCCTATGAGTTTGAGGCCAGCCTGGTATACAGAGTGAGTTCCGGGACAGCCAGAGATACATAGAGAAAATCCTGTCTCAAAAAAACAGAAAAAAAAAGGGGGGGGGGAGAATAAAAATTAAAAAAAGAAATGGCTGGAGAGATGGCTTAGGGTTAAGAGCACTGACTGTTCTTTAAGAGGACCCAGGTTCAATTCCCAGCTCACAACTGTCTGTAACTTCTGTTACAGGGGATCCAACACCCTTACAAACATGCATGCAAGCAAAACACCAATGTATAGAAAATACAAATAAATAAATTATTAAAGGTGTTTTGTATTAAAAAAATTAAGGAAAAAGTCTGTAATGCAGTAGCAAAGGTGTACACGTAGCAAATATTAGTTTCCTTGGGGTGAGATGAATTGTTTCATTTTCCTGGCAGTAAGCATTTCTGGACCTTTTGGAGTTTAAGTACAGTGGAAAACTTGTCATAGTACTAAGCTGGTGTGATAGAATACATTTACTTTGCTCCTTTTGGGGTAGATGACAAACAAATGTCTTAACTCCGTGCTGTGAATATTAATTTTTTCATGATTTATATAGTTTGTTTACCGATGGACACTTTTACAACAGGATTTATGATGCTGGGTCGGAGAACAACGCAGCAGTTGTAGCCGTAGAGGCGCACACAATACACAAAATCGAAGAAGGAATTGGTAAGTCTTTCTGCCATTCTGTCCAGTGCCTTTGACTTGAGCATGCTGGTTGAGAGTTTCTGTATGTTCTGGGAATGGAACTTGGAACCTTGTCCAGGCAAAGCTGATGCTCCACTGCTGAGTTGTGCTCCCAGCCTATGATTTCTGCCCTTTTGTGCCTTATTTTCTGTCCCTACCAAAGCAGTGTACCTACTGACACTGTTGGTTAAGATGGCTGACTTGCCAGGTGTGGTGGCGCACACCTTTAATACCAGCACACAAGAGGCAGAGGCCGACCCATCTCTGAGTTCCAGGCTCCTGTACAACCAGCACTACATGGAAAAACTGTCTCAAAAATATAAAAATAACCAACCAATTAAAAAATGGTAGACCTGTCACTTGATCACTTACTATCAATATATTACAGTAACCAAAAAAAAAAAAAGTTTTCATCTATTAAAATTGTACCAAGAAAGGTGGGATAAAATGTTTAGCTTGAGTCTCACTGTGGGATCCCTGAGTACCATTGTGTGTGGGGGGGGGGGGGATTAAAATAAAACAAAACAAAAAACCCTAGGTGCACTCCAGAGCAAGTTCAAGGCCAGAAGGCCAGAAGGGGGGGGGGGGGGGGGGGGATTAAAATAAAACAAAACAAAAAACCCTAGGTGCACTCCAGAGCAAGTTCAAGGCCAGAAGGCCAGAAGATTAGAGGTGTAAACTCAGTAGTAAAATGCTTGTGTGACCCGTGCAAAGGCTTAGAATCCTTAGTCATCCTCCTCTCCACCTCCTCCCCCTCCTCACTGAGCAGGATGAAGCGGCATACCTGTAATCCCAATGGTTGGGAGACTGCAACAGGAAGATTATGTTTGAGGTTGGGCTCTAATGCAAGACCATGCCTTAAAAAAAATAAACTCAGAGAAACAGGAGCTTTTAGATTGACACGTTTTCATTAGGTGATCCTTGCAGCTGAAGACTAAAGAGGTAATGTATGGACTGGGAAATTGTCAGTGAAAGGAAGTTTAGAAACTAAGCCAATCTTTTCACTCTGTGTTCTTGGGAACTCACTTCTCCTTTGTTTTGTTTGTTTGTTTGTTTTTGAGACTGGGTTTCAGAGCCTGCCCTAGAACTCACTTTGTGGACCAGGCTGGCCTCAATCTCACAGAGATTGACCTGTTGTGTTTTTTTTTTTTGGCCTCCTGAATACTGGGATTAAAGGCGTGTGTCACCACCAACTGGCTCTCACTTATCATTTGAAGCCCATATATTTATATGTAAAATGTAGGAAGTAATTACCATCTCACAAGATAGTAAGACCTAAAATACTGAGTGTGTTGTCTTGTGCCTATAATCCTGGCACTTTGGAACTAGGGCCGCAATATCAGAGGTTCAGGGACTGGAGAGATGGCTCAGTGGTTAAGAGTACTGGCTGCTCTTTTATAGGACCCAGGTTCAATTCCCGGTACCCTTGACAGCTCTGTCTGTAATTCCAGTCCTAGGGAATCTGACACCCTCACACAGACATACCTGCAGGCAAAATACCAATGCACATAAAATACATTTGAAAAGGAAGATCAGGAGTTCAAGGCCATCCTTGACTACATAAAAAGTTCATGGCAGTTTGAAACTGTTCCAAAAAGCAAATAAAAGCAATATAGTATAGCACATGTAAAGGGTGATGGTAGGGCTGGCCATATACTCAGTGGTGCAACACTAAACTGGCACGTATAATGTCCTGGGTTTAATCCTCGAGAACATGCAAAACAAAAGACTGAGGGAAACATGGTTTAGCAAATGCAATTACTTGCTATGTAAGCAGGCAAGCCTGCAGCAGTTCAATCCCCAGAACCTACGTAAATGTGGAAGAAAGAAACACCCTACAGAGCTATCCTCTGATCTCCAGAGCATGCCCTCACCAATAAGAATAAATAATATTTTTAAATTAACAAAAAGAGAGAGAGAATATATCATTAGTGTCTTAACACATTGGTAGCTTGGTAAGACATAGCTATTATGTCAAACATCCGAAGTATCCCTGGGGCTGGAGAGATGCCTAAGTGGTTGAGACTATTTGTTTGCTACAAGGCCCTGGCTTAGAGTCCCAGCACTCAGGAGAACCCACAACCCTCATGAACGACTGCAGGTGCAGGGGACCCAGGCTCTCTTCTGCAGGCATCAGGCAAACAATTGGTGTACAGACTTGCATGCAGGTAAAATACGAATTTAAATTTTTTTTTATTATTACTATTATTTTGAAGAGTTCCCTGTTAGTGGTAGGAATCTAGCTCAGTTGGTAGAGTGCAAGGATCAGTAATCTGAGGTCATCATTGCTGTATACTGAGTTTAAGGCCAGCCTGAGCTACATGAGACCGCATTCTAAATAAATAAATAAAAATATGCTTAAGAGGGACCTGAAAACTGTACATATGGAATTTAAGTTTGGGAAAGAATTGTTCAGTAAATAGTAGATTGCTTTTTCCATTTTCAGATGCAAGCAGCATAGAAGCAAACGAGGATATGGAAATTGCCTACCCTATAACCTGCGGAGAGAGTAAAGCCATCCTCCTCTGGAAGAAGTTTGTGTGTCCAGGAATAAATGTGAAGTGTGTCAAGGTAACTGTCTCAGTCCCTTGTCTCTCTCACCAGGTCAGCTTCTGAAGGGAAACGCAAGGCTCTGATCTAGGGTCTGGAACATGGAGGCAAACGCTCCGTTTTTGAACTGTCCTTCCAGCTTCAATCAGCAGCTTTTGTTTTGCAGTTTTCATCTTTAATTTTGCTTTTGTTTGTTTGTTTATTTTTTGGTTTTTCGAGACAGGGTTTCTCTGTGGTTTTGGAGCCTGTCCTGGAACTAGCTCTGTAGACCAGGCTGGCCTTGAACTCACAGAGATCTGCCTGCCTCTGCCTCCCGAGTGCTGGGATTAAAGGCGTGTGCCACCATCGCCCGGCTTGGTCTTTAATTTTTTTTAATTAATTAATTTATTTTTAACATTTATTTGGTTATTTTGCGTGGCACCCATGCCGAGGGCAAAGGGAGCTTGCAGCAGTCTGTTCTTTCCTTTCACCATGCAGATTCTTCTGTGACTGAACTCTGCTTGTCAGGCTTGGCAGCTGCCTCTCCTACATGACTTGGGTTAGAACCCTGGCTAGGGGCTTCGAGGGAGTGAAGAAAGGACAGCCACATGTACAGTAAAGCTGGGGTCCGGTGGGATTCTTTAACTGCTACCTGGAACCTTAGCGTATTTTACGTGCAGCAGAGAGCAAGGTTAGGTGGTCTTGGTAGTGGGTCTCTGTAGTGTAGACATCTGGGAGGAGGAAGCTGCACTTGCTTGTCTGTGCTCATACTGATCAATTATTTATAAGCACTTGGACTTGTGATCCTGGGCCATGTGGGTAAAGGTTTTGCCAATTGCACCATGGTCTGAGGACTGAGCTTTCTTGGCATGGCTGTGCCCATGTCAAATACACGTCCCCAGCCAGGTAGAGTGGTGTGTACGTTTAATCCCAGGACTTGAGAGGCAGAGGCAAGAGCAGCCTGGCCTACAGAGGGAGTTCCAGGATAGCCAGGACCACACAGGGAAACCCTGTCTTGAAACAGCATCAACAAAGATGCACGTTCCCCGGCGACTTCACTCACTGCGGGCTTGCCCCTTCCTACAGGCACCAGACACCTTTATCTACTGGGCCATCTTCCTGTCCCTGCAGTTTTTCTCTTATGCTGTTGCAGTAGAAACATAAGGATTTTGAAATAAAATGGGCCTGGCTCTAGTTCCACTGGAACATGAGTCTTGTGCAAGCATAGAACATTATTTGTATTCATAATATGATGCCTTGGTGGTGGTGGCAGAACCTTGGCATGACAAGGACTGGCTGTGGTGCCTGCTATACAACAGTGTTCCTTAAGTACTTGTTCAACAAGTAAATGAATAAATGGCCAGAACCCTTCTCTATCTCTGTTTAGCCATATGATTTTGAGCAAGTTATTTAACAATTAAGATTTCAGAGCCTTGCTGGGCATTGCGGTGTACACCTTGAATCCAGCACTTGGGAGGCAGAGTTTTTCTCCCACACACCAGTTCCCGAATAACTGCTCTGAGGCTTAATATTAGTTACAAAGTGTTTGGCCTATCAGCTCAGGCTTATTATTAACTAGCTCTTACAACTTAAATTTATCCATTTCTATTCATCTGTATTACCATGGACACCCGTGACTTACCAATAATGCTTTGGCATCTTATGCCTTCAGTGACTCCTGGTGTCTCCCAGACTCCACCTTCTTTTTTCCTGTATCTTTACTTGGATTTCCCGCCTGGCTCTCTTCTGCTTGGCTGTCGGCCAAATCAGCTTCCTTATTAACCAATGGTAATGAAACATATTCATAGAATACAGAAGGGCATCCCACATCAGGCAGATCTCTGAGCTTGAGGCCTGCCTAGTCTATGAAGTGAGTTCCAGGACAGCTGGAGCTACACAAAGAAACTTGTCTCAGAAACATGCCTTGAACTGGTATGCATCATAATAGACCTTATTCAGAATTGTTGTTGATAAGAATAAGAAGTAGTAACTACTGTAACCCTCGCTTGGAAACAGTAGGAATGATTTAAGTTTGAGATCAAGAGGTGATGGAGTGTCTCAAAAAACCCAAAAGGGGGTTGGAGAGATGGCTCAGAGGTTAAGAGCATTGCCTGCTCTTCCAAAGGTCCTGAGTTCAATTCCCAGCAACCACATGGTGGCTCACAACCATCTGTACTGGGGTCTGGTGCCCTCTTCTGGCCTGCAGGCATACACACAGAATATTGTATACATAATAAATGAATAAATAAAAACAAACAAATAAAAAAACAAAACCCAAAGGTATGGTGGTGTATGCCTTTAATGACATCACTTGGAGGCAGAGGCAGGTGGAACTCTATGAGATAGGGGACTGGAGAAATGGTACAGGGGTTAAAATGACTAGCTGTTCTTCCAGAGGACCTGGGTTTAGTTCCCAGCACCTATATGGCTGCTCAGAACCAGTCTGTAGCTCCAGTTCCAGGGGAATCTGTTGCCACTTTCAGGCCTCTGTGGGTATTGTTTATGTGTGATGCAGACACATATGCAGGCAAAACACCCATATACATAAGATAAAAATAAACCTTCAAAAGGGTCTTGTGTGTATGTGTGTATTTGATTCTGCTACTGAACTGAGTATTCCAGGGTAACCAGTCTTCCATCTTCCCGGGAAGCCTTCTGACTTCCATCTCACAGTAAGAGTGCTGGAACTACAGATGAAGTTCACAGCCTCCAGTTTTTAAGTGATTTCTGAGATGGAAGTCAGTCTGTAGTCTTGCACAAATAGTGCTTTTACGGGCGAGTCATCTCCCTGGCCCACCCATCTTTAGCACTACTTTGATTTCTTCAGTGACTTGACCAGCCTCTCGAGCACTAGGCCCAGCCCCCTGGTTCAGAATCTAGGTGGATTTGTAGATACTGTTTAGCAAGGTTCTTTCTTGTCCTCATCCGCTGTAGCTTTATCCTAGGAAAGGGGAGGTACTCAGAGAAGGATAATGTTTGGTACCATGGGACAGCAGGCTGAGTGACACAGATACGGCCTGTGAAATTGTCTGGGGGGTTTTGTAGCAAGTGACATTTCATTCTGTCCTTGTTGACCTATCTAAGTTCACACTGGACTACTTTGGATTTTTTTTTCCTTTAGTTCAATGATCAATTGATCAGCCCCAAGCATTTTGTCCATCTGGCTGGCAAGTCCACTCTGAAGGACTGGAAGAGAGCCATTCGTCTAGGTGGCATCATGCTCAGGTGAGTGCTGGTGACAGCCACATGCGTCTCAATGATGCACTTAGTCAGGGAAGAATCTTCTACACCATTTGACCTTTGTCAACTTGTCCTTAATCTTTTGGTTTTTAACTTTGTGACACTAGGGATGGAATCCAGGGCCTTGTACATGCTACGTAAGCACCCTACCACTGAGTTATACCCCGGTGACCTCTAACTTAACTCAAACTTGTTACCTCTGCCCAGCCTCTGCATTAGATTTTTCATTCTTCTTTTTAGTTCTAGCCCAGAACTTGCCGTGTAGCAAAGACTACACCAGCATGCCTGACTTAGGGTACTGATGTCAGGAGGTTGGACAGGATCCTTTCTTGACAGAGGAGCTCCGAGGAGCTAACAGTCCTCCCTGTCATCCTCACATAGAGAGAGCAAAGCTGGGTGCTGAGTAAGTGTGACAGCCATGACTGATGGATCCTGGGATACCCTGTTAAAGTAGAAGCCCTGCATGATGTTTGCCGTCTTTGCCATCACTGTCTAAGAAACAGATGTCAGCATATGGAATAGCTCTCATCCACCCTAACTTTTGCTCCAACAAGTTTACCATTGTAGTTTTCCATGTTGAATATATTAATTAGTATGCCTTGAATGCTCACCTACTGATAGAAAAAAATTTAAATGTAAAACCTAGAACTGGAGAAATGAGTTCTGGCTGCCCTACTAGAAGTTCTGGGTTCAGTTTCCAGCACCCACATAGCAGATCTCAATCATCTGTAACTCTAGTTCCAGGGACATACAACACCCTCTTCTAACCTTCATGGAAACCAGGTGTACACACAGTACACAGACATACATGCAGGCAAAGCACCCATATACATAGAATTATAAAAACAAAAGCACAAAACCTTTTTTTATTTTATTTTTATTTTGTGTGCTTTGGTGTTTTGCCATGGGTGTCACAGACGGTTGTGAGCTGCCATGTGGGTACTGGGATTTGAACCCAGCTCCCCTGGAAGGGCAGCCAGTGCTCGTAAGCTCTGAGCCACCTCTCCAGCCCCCAAAAACAAAAATTTTAAGGTCAAGATTAAAAATGTCCAACCAGGTGTGGTGGCACCTTTAATTTCAGCACATGGGAGGCAGAGGCAGGAGGATCTCAAGTTTAAGGTCAAGCTGGATGACATAACCAATCTGGTCTCTATAAAGAGACCCTGTGTGGAAGCCAAACATAGACAAGGGGCTGCTTCCATTGGGACAGTTTCTCTGTGGGGGCGACACATTATCTGCAGACCCCAGGCCCTGGGTTCGTTACAGGTGAGGATTTGAGAGGATTGCCTTTCCTATCCGTTTTGTTCTAGTTTCATCTGTCCAGGAATTCGAGCACGTGCCAGTTTCCCCACTAATGCTTAAAGGACTGAGACTGCAGCTGGGCGGTGGTGGCGCAGGCTTTTAATCCCAGCAGAGGCAGGCGGATCTCTGTGAGTTCGAGACCAGCCTGGTCTACAAGAGCTAGTTCCAGGACAGGCTCCAAAGCTACAGAGAAACCCTGTCTCGAAAACCCAAACTGAGACTGCCTAGAGATCTGTTAGTGAAAGCCAAGTGACAGGGTGACATAGAGCTGTACTAGAACTAAAATTTAAAATGCTTTCTGGTTTTGCTTATGGTCTGTAATAGTAGGGCCTCATTGCTCTTGTTACAAGAACATTTTCCAGAAAGGATTTGTTATCATCAGTGTTTGTTTGTTTGTTTGTTTAAATTTATTTATTTGTTGTGTATACAACATTCTGCCTCCATGTGTGCCCATATGCCAAAAGAGAGCACCAGATCTCATTACAGATGGTTGTGAGCCACCATGTGGTTGCTGGGAATTGAACTCACGACCTCTGGAAGAGCAACCAGTGCACTTAACCATTGAGCCATCTCTCCAGCCCTATCATCAGTATTGTATAATACTTCTAGGAGACTTAATTTTGTAAATTTTATTTTATTATTTTTGTTTGTTTTGTTTATTTGAGACGGGGTTTCTCTGTATAGCCTTGGCTGTTCTAGAACTTGCTTTGTAGACCAGGTTGGCCTCGAACTCAAGAGATCTGCTGGCCTCTGCTTCCTAAGGGCTGGAAATAAAGGCATGCACCACCACTGCCAGGCTTGTGGTTGTTTTATTTTTGTTATAGGGTTTCACTATATAGCTCAGGATAGCCTGGGGGAACTTGGCTGTGTACACCAGGTTGATTTTGAACAAACAGGGTCTCTGCCTCCCAAGTGTTGGGACTTTCAGCTTTGGGTTTTAATGACTTTCTTGACATTCTTAGTTAATCTAAGGCTTGTGTCGAGGAAGCTCAGAAGGGAAGTGGTGGTCAATGTGGGAAGGACCAATGAACATTTGATAATTCCAATTAGAATTTTCAGTTTTATGCCGTCAGATATTGGGCTTCTCTAATCTCCACCATGAAATCAGCAGATGGTCCTTGTCTAAACTCAGTTCTCATAGTTCTGTAGGTGAAATGTGGGCTGAACTGCGTCTTGTCTCTCTACAGGAAAATGATGGACTCCGGGCAGATCGATTTTTACCAGCATGACAAAGTTTGCTCCAATACTTGCAGGAGTACCAAGTTTGACCTTCTGATCAGCAGTGCGAGGGCGCCAGTGCCAGGCCAGCAGACAAGTGTGGTGCAGACCCCCACCTCGGCCGATGGTAGGGGGTAGGAAACCGCCCGGGCAGCCACTGTGTTCACCAGCTCTTCTCTACTTCTCATCGCTTCTCCCTTGTGCTTTTGTTGTTTGGTTTGCTTTTGAGACCATCTTACCGTGTAGCCCAGGCTGGACTTGAAGTTACTATGATTTCCTTGTTTCTGCCTCCCAGTGCTTGGATCACAAACATAATCCACCATGCCTGGTGTCCCTGGTTTCCCATTCTTGTCTGCACTGATGTGCCTTTGTGCTGTCTTGTAAGATACTGCAGCAATTTGGCTGGACTCCAAGCCCTGGATTACCTTTTTCCTCTTAAAAAACTCATGTTTGGTTTGAGACTAGGTTTCTGTTACCCAGGCTGGTCAGGAACTCACTGTGTAGCCCAGGCTGACTTTAAATTCATGGCTATTCTCTGTTCTAGAATCCTGGGACACAGGCTTGAAATCACCCATGCCTGGTTTCTCTCTCTTTCTCTTTTTGGGGGGTGTTTTTCAAGACATTGTTTCTCTGTGTCCCAGTGATCCTTTTGTTTCTGCTTCCTGAGTGTTGGGATTAAAGACATGTGCCACTATGCCCAGCATGCCTGTCTATTTTAATTGATTCTTTCTACCCTTTCCTCCCTTCCCTTCTTCTCCCCTTCCCTCCCCTCCTTTCCTTGTGTACAGAGTTCTGCCTGCTTGTATGCCTGCAGGCCAGAGAGGGCACCAGTTTTCAAAGGGATGGTTGTGAGCCACCATATGAGTGCTGGGAATTGAACTTAGGACTTTTAGAAGAGCAGCCAGTGCTCTTACCTGCCATATCTCTAGCCCCTTTTAACTGATTCTTATTGGCCAACTCTTATCGTGTTTTTTCTTTTCTTTTTTCATTATCATCGTCATTAATACTGTCTGTGCTTCTGTCTCTACCTTCTATTTCCAGTAATCTTTGTTTGTTTGTTCTTGTTTTTGTTTTTGAGACAGGGTTTCTCTGTGTCATCCTGGCTGTCCTGGAACTTGCTTTGTAGACCAGTAGGGTTGGATACCCTTGGAGCTAGAGTTACAGACAGTTGTAACCTGCCTGACATGGGTCCTGGGAACTGAACACTGGTCCTGGAAGAGCAACATGTGCTCTTAACCACTGAGCTGTCTTTCCAGTTCCATGTCTGTTCTATTATTCATGTGTCTCCTCTCTGATTTTTCTTTTTTGTGTGTATGTATCTCTATTTCTCTTGCTTTCTCAACCCAGGTTGATTCATTAACTGTGACAGCTTCAGATATTCTAGATGCTTACTACCAAACACATCTATAGTAGGGCTCATGACAAATGCACTTCTTTTAAATGATCCTAGGTCTTTCCCATCCTCAGTAAGTCTGGAGTGGGTGGTCTGGCAGGCACACCTACCCCCCAGTCACTTTCAAAAACATCTGAATGGGAAGCCGACTGCCCTTGGGAGTTTTTTGGTTTTTTTTTTTTTTTTTTTTTTTTTTTGGGTTTTTGGAGACAGGATTTCTCTGTAGCTTTGGGGGGGTCTGTCCTGGAACTAGCTCTTGTAGACCAGGCTGGCCTCGAACTCACAAGAGATCTGCCTGCCTCTGCTTCTCAAGTGCTGGGATTAAAGGCATGCGCCACCATTGCTTTTTCCTTAGCAAGGCAAGTTTCCTTTAGAAAACTCAGTGTCCATCCTGGCTTACCTAGAGATCTGTATTTTAAACTATAGACACATAGGGAAGAAGCATCATGTTAGAATCACAAGGTCTTTCTGCTGTGAGTATGAGAGAGAATAACTATGAATTTCTTGATAAAACTGACTGTCTTTCTTTCTAATGGACTCTGCTAGGTAACATCACACAGATTGCCATCTCAGAGGAGAGCATGGAGGAGGCTGGGCTGGAGTGGAACTCAGCTCTCACTGCTGCTGTCACCATGGCCACAGATGAGGGCATAAAAAAAGACTCTGAAGAAATTTCAGGTACTTTCCTGTGTAGCTCATGTACTCCTCGTGTAGCTTGTGTCTTCCTATGGGTTTATGCACAGAGCAGACATCTTCATAAACATGAGTACTAACTAGAGCTGCAATTGGCTCCTTTTAACCCGAGCAATCATCCAGACAGCTGTGAGCTGCCATGTGGGTGCTGGGAATTGAACCCAGGTCCTTTGGAAGAGCAGCCAGTGCCCTTAACCACTGAGCCATCTCTCCAGTGCCCCACTTTCTCCTTTTGATCATTCATTTAATAAATATTTGTTGCATATTTGATTCTGTTGCTATTTGCTGTGTACATACATGAAGAGACTTAGCCATCACCCTAGGGAAACTTACAGGCCTTCCCACCCAGCTGTTTGGTTTAGTGTAGAACTAGAAAGAATATATTTAATTAATATTTGGCTTAATATCTTTATTAGTTAACATTTATAAAATTAAATCCTATCTAATTGAAAACAAAATTAAAATTAAATTTAATCAAGTAATACTTAGTCTTAATTATTAAATGTATTTAATATTTAACTGGATATTTTTATTGAACTAAGATGTCTGTTTTTATAGCCCGAATCATAACAAGTCAAGGGCATGACAAATTGGAGCAATTATCCCAAGCCCCTAGTATCTGAAGGGCTAATAATTAGGTACCAACTCATGGACACAGCTAGTCTTTCATGTTTTAGCATAAAATCCTTTCCAATTGAAATTATCATTATAGACGTGCTGAGGTATTTGGTAATATCTACCTTCTGTCTTATCCCTTCTGTGCCAGAGGATACTTTGATGTTCTGGAAAGGAATAGCTGATGTAGGATTGATGGAGGAGGTCGTCTGTAATATTCAGAAGGAGATAGAAGAACTTCTCAGGGGCGTTCAGCAGCGGCTCCTGCAGGCTCCCTTCCAGGTCACAGGTAAGTGCACCGAGCCTGGTACTAGCCTTCCTTTCTTTGAGCATTCACAACTGTGCTCAGGTTCCTGTTCGCCCCACGACTCTGAGGCAGAGGTACCGTTCTCTTCATTTACAGATAAGAAAGTAAAGATTGTAAAAATTAAGTAATTGTTTTTCATGGTTCGTGACTGTGTTTTGTTCATTTATGTGGTCCTGGAGATTTAAGTTGGCCCCAGCATACTAGGCAAGCACTCTTCTACTGCGGTAGAGCCCCAGCCTTCTTTTACTTTATCATTGATGGGTTTTATTTGTTCATTCATTCGTTCATTTATTTATTTGTTGGTTGGTTGGTTGATTGACTTTTCGAGACAGGGTTTCTCTGTGAAACAGTCCTGGCTGTTCTGGAACTCACTTTGTAGATCAGACTGGCTTTAAACTCACAGAGATTCACCTGCTTCTGCCTCCCACATGCTGGGATTAAAGGCGTGCACCACCACCACCTGGCATTAAATTAACTGGGTTTTAAACTTTGGTTTGGTATGTTTAGCTACTTCGCTTTGTACTTTTTTCTCGTGAGGCATCCTTTTTTCTTTTCTTTTTAACTTTCCTGTTTTTTGTTTTTGTTTTTTTTTTGTTTTTCGAGTCAGGGTTTCTCTGTAGATTTGGAGACTCTCCTGGAACTAGCTCTTGTAGACCAGGTTGGTATCAAACTCACAGAGATCTGCCTGCCTCTGCCGCCTGAGTGCTGGGATTAAAGGTGTGCGCCACCACTGCTGGCTGTCTTTCTCATCTCTCTTCCTCTGTGTCTGCCTTTCTTCTTTCCAAAATTCTCCTAGTCTTGTTGCCCCACCTATACTTCCTGCCTGGCTACTGGCCAATCAGCGATTCATTAAACCAATATAAAGGGCAAATCTTTACAGTGTGCCAGAGCATTATCCCACAGCAATAACTTATTGGTTTAAAGATTTTATTTTTATGTTATGTTGTTTTAAAGTTTCTATTACTGTGGTAAAACAACATAACAAAAGTAGCTTGGGTATGTGTCAGGGAAGGGTTAACTTTATTGTATGTTTCAAGGTCTTTCTTTTAAAGATTTATTCATTTATTATGTGTAGTGTTCTGCCTGCATGTCTGCCTGCAGGCCAGAAGAGGGCGCGAGATCTCATTAGATGGTTGTGAGCCACCATATGGTTGCTGGGAATTGAACGCAGGTCCTCTGGAAGAGCAGCCAGTCAGCTTACCTTTTTATAGCACCCGGGACCACCAGCCCAGAGGTGACACTGCCCACAGTGAGCTGGAAACTCTCACATCAACCTTCAATCAAGAAATCATCAATTGTGGACTGGGTATCTTTTTCATACAAAGTGACCTCACAGTTTGGTCACTGAATCCTTTTTGTTGTTGTTGTTTGTTTTGTTTTTCTCGAGACAGGGTTTCTCTGTAGCTTTGGAGCTTATCCTGGAACTCACTCTATAGATCATGCTGGCCTTGAGCTCACAGAGATCCACCTGTTTTGTTTTTTTTTTTTTTT